CATGTTCTCTAGACCTTCAATCATTCTCGTTGCTCTTCTCTGGACCCTCTCCAATTTCTCCACCTCTTTCTTGAAATGTGGTGCACAGAACTAAACACAATACTCCAATTGAGGCCTAACCAGCGCAGAGTAGAGCGGAAGAACGACTTTTCATGTCTTGCTCACAACACACCTGTTAATGCATCCCAGAATCATGTTTGCTTTCTTTGCAACGGCATCACACTGCTGACTCATATTCAACTTGTGGTCCACTATAACCCCTAGATCCCTTTCTGCCGTAGTCCAGTAATAAATGACTGGTGACGATGTTCCCAGAAAGATATCAGTACCAAGCAGTGCAGAATCTGGCGTTGATAATACCAACAGGCCCCTATGGTGGGAGAACTGCAGTTCCAATATGGACAGGGCTGGAGTGTTCTGACAGTGGTGCAGTAAGATTGATTGGTGCCTCTAGAGATGGTGAAGCTGGCAGCATGTTGGGCAGATCAGTAGGCCGTGCTAAGGTTTTAGTTGGCACTGGCACAGACACCAATGCCAGCCAGTGCTATGGCAAGAGAGGCTGGCAACTGTAAGACATTAGCCTCAGCACCAGAGCAGTGTTCACCAGTGGCAGCCAAGGGGAGAGCGGTGCCAGAGATGACTGAAGCATCATAGGTGGTAAGGCACAGTGCAGTCGGCATGGACAGCACTGATCAGCTTGGAAACAGTCTTGAGGCAGATAGACCCTTCTGAGATGACGAAGCCTTGTCTTTTTTTATGCTTTTTTGTCCTTGCTGGACTGAGAGGCTGAGTGACCTGTAGAGGGTTCCAGAGAAAGGTTTTAGGCAGGACAAAAAGATTTCTCCATAAGAATTAGTTTGAGACTCAGGTCCTTGTGTTTTCATGACCTAGCTTTTAGTTTGCTACAATGGGTGCATTTCTGAATAATGTGGAATTCCCCAAAACAAGTCACATTGGGAATGGAATCCCTGCACATAGTGCATCTTTTAAAACCTGGTAAGCCAGACACAACTAAAACCTATCTCACTAACTATGGGGAAAATATTTCTTAGCAGGGAAGAGAGTAACGAAAACGTATTGGACTGAACAGAAAAACTAATTAGCTAAGAACTAGGATAACTAGTGGAGAGGCAACAAAGAAAACGTGGAGCAACACCACTGAGTTCCATCTCGTGCCAGGGACTGAGGAGGTGGGCTGTACACCAGCGAGGCAGGTACCACACATGTACAGCCCACAAGGGAATCACTGTACAAATCTCTGAGAGCACAGGGACACACCGACACCTCAAATGCAACACCCACAGGGACATCTCTCAGAAAAGAAGTGTTAGTTTCACAGACACTATTAAGACTCTTTTTATATATTGTATACAATTTTAATTGAAATAATTTTAGCCTCTAAAGAGCTTGATAGTGAAGTTTCCTTTCCCCTACTAAAACTCTCTTTCATCCCTTTCCATTTAGGAAAGAGTAGAATAAAGCCCTCAGAACAAAACATTGTGTCTGTAATGGCCATTTCCCCTGTCAAGTTATAAATAATTTTTGCCTAAATAAAAAGGTGCACAAAGACATCTAGATTTGGCTTTTGGAGCAAAATCCTCCTTTCCAATCTGTCCTGCAAAGTCTGCAATATGAAATTCTGTATTATTAATTCAGTTCCTGGGTGCAATTCACATTGATACCAGTGGGAATTTTGATCAAGCACTGAATGCAAAATAAGAAATGGAAAGCTACAACGTAGTTATGGGCAAGAGTAGAATTTTGCCTGTAAAAATGTAAATGTATTTCCAGGATGAATTATATAAAATACACTATAATAATTTTTCCAGTTAGAAAACACTAGTTTTATTCAAACCTATAATCACTTATCATAGCCTATCATTTAACTGTAGCTGCAGTTGCCAGTGGAGATCTATCCACCTAAATACATTTTCGGCTAAAACTGTTACATATCTTTTCCAGGAGTCTGATATATTACCCAATATTTTCATCATGCCTACACTTTAGCTGTATTCCATTTGTGGAGATAAATTGTAGTATTATTAATTACACCGGGGAAGTTATTTATCTTTATATTGAACAAGTAGAGCTTATACTTATACTCATGTAGGGCTGTTTAAGACACTGTGACTTGCTGCTTTGTGCTCTTTCCATACTCTCTGATGGTGTCACTGTATGACAGGATGAAATCCTGGATTGTGGAGTCATGGGAGTCTTCTATGAAGACCTAATGATACTGCAGTTGTTACTGTTGCTACTGCAAGTCATTTCTAGGAGTGGATTTCTCAAACTGAGATTCAGCTCTGTGAGTAAAAGTAAGGTGAGAAGAACAAATTTGTCCAATTTAAAAAACAAGGCAGGCCACACAGACACTGAAAATGAAGGAAAAGGTGCCAAGCAAAGGGTACAATCAATTAGAGAAAGGCAGAGAGATAAAGAACCCAAATGTGTAGGAGAAACATTGAAAATGTTTTTTGGTTTGTTTTTCTTCTCTATGCATGCATAATGAGGGATAATTAGCTCTCACTGTGAAATGAACTTTTGTATTTCAACATCTGAAGCAAGAAAATCTTGGAACTGCTCATATTTAAAGAGATCTTCCAGAAAAATTTCTTCTGAAAAAGAGCGTCCACCCTGCTGAAGTGCATCAAAAAACTGATCTGCTTTTTAGAAAGATAGCATCCATTCAGTGTGGTCGCTATCTCGCATTTCAGCTGTCATTACTACAGGGCACCTGTGCTTTTTCCTCTTTCCTCTTCTGTCCAAAGAATTCCCTCTTCCCCATGTACACATACCTTTTTCCAAAAGAGCTCTTTTGGAAAAAGGCTTTTTCCCTCATAGAATGAGGATTACCAATGTTGGAAAAACCTCTTCTTTCGATTTTTCTTTTGGAAGTACACTGTGTTTGCAGTGTGGACGTAATTGAAGTTTTTTTTGGAAAAACAGCCTGCGACAGGGTATATCTGCCCCGCAATGAGGAGCAGGAGGTTACTGAGGCCCAGCTGCCCAAGAAGGTCTCTCCCCCGTGGCCCTGCTGGGCATGCTTAAGGGATAAGCCGGGTATAAAAGCCCAGGGAGTCAGTCAGGGCTGACCACCAGAGGAGAAAGAGCTCAAACTGGAGTTCCTGATCAGCCCCTGCAGCAGCAGCCACTCCAGGAGCAGCAACAGCCAGAGCCACTCCAGGAGCAACAACTCCGGCAACATAAGCCACAGCAGTCCCAGGAACAGCAGCCCCAGCCGCAGCCAGAGTAGCCTCAGTAGCAGCTGCAGCCGCTGCAGCCAGAGCAGCCACAGCCTCAGTTGCAGAAGCAGTGAAAGCCCTGGCCAGGGAGGCTGTCCGGAGGGTACTGACCTGCTGAGCAACACCCTGAGAATGGAGAAGCACACCAGGAGTGGTAGGAAGTAGCCCAGGGCAGAGGATTGCCCTCCAGGAGCTCAGTGTGTTCCAGCAGGCCTCCCCGCCAAGCAGGCAGCAGAATTTGCCCCTGCCAACAGGGCCCTGGGCTGGGACCAGTGGAGTGAGAGGGCCCGGGTTGCCTTACCTCCCCACCCCAGAAGAATCCAGCTCCCTAGCATTCAGGGAAGCCTACTTTGGACTAGGCTGCTAGGCCATTGTGACTTTGAGAGAGGGGAGTGTGTTTGTGACTTAGCCTGCAAGGCTGGTAGAGGGGACTGTACTTTGGGACTAGGCTGTTAGGGCCGTATTCACCTTAATAGTAGGGACTGTACTTGGGACTAAGCCAATAGGGCCGTATTCATCCTAATAGCGGAGACTATATCTTGAGGATTAGGCCTACAGAGCCGTATTCACCCTAATAGAGGGAACCATACCCTGGAACTGAGCCTGAAGGGTCATCTTACCCAGTGGAAAGCAGACATAATCCCTGTCTTTGGAGAACTTTCAGAACGTCAAGGGGGCTGGCTCCTACACATGACTATTTTTCCAGAAAAAAAAAACCTCTGTAGTGTAGACATACCCTCACAGACCAGGTTTGAATGGGATTGGACACAAAGGAATAATTGTGTGTGCAAGATGCTCCAGGCAAAAGCTGAAAGAAGAATCAGAAATGTTGCAATCCAATTGTTATTATTTCTTGAAAGTAGAAAATGAATGGAGCAGGGGAGAATGCAGAACAACAAGGCAGTCCATCTCTCCAAAGAGACCACCTGTGCAAACTCTGCTCTAGGTGGCCAAGTTGAGTCTGACAAATTATAACAGCTGAGGATCTAGCCCTCCATCATCATGAAATTAATCCTCTAAATGTGCATAACAGTGAGTAATGATGCAAACATGTACAGTGTAGTAAGAAAATCGAAAGCAAACAGCTGGTGCAAGTCACTCAACAGGTCTTCGCTACCCACTGTCATCCCAAGGTGTATAACTGCCATGATTAGTGGATGACATCATAGCCTGAGTTTATGAGCATCTCCCATGATTACATTACATTAGAAGAATGTTACTTGAAGATGGTACCATATATCTGAGAATGATGCAGCCATGGATGGAACTAAAGCACCTATCTAAAACTACCCATGTAGCTCAGAATTTAACTCAGAGGTTTCCATCCCTGTCAAAGACAAAATAGAGAAGTGCAAATCACACACATATATGATGGAAGGTGAAACCTACCAAATTTAAAAAATGCTCCTGACTTCTCTCTCTGAGAGGGATGTTTCCCTTGGCATAATTATATGACCATCACGCTCATTCTCCTTTTCTCTGTTGGCACTCAACTTATTTTCCCCTTTTTCACATCTTTATTATACTATTGCTTTTAATTCTTCCAACATGAGTGTGACGGGGCAAGCCCGCACCAGGCGGGGGCAGCCCCTCAGGAGGCATTGTGGAGTGGGAGGCCAGACAGCCACCGGCTTTGCCCGGGCTGCTCGGCAGCCGCGCGCGCCGCCCCCAGCCCCAGAGCGGAGGGGGGAGATGACGTCATGAGAGGCGCGCCGCGGCATCAGCCACGTTGCTGGGGCAACGCGCCGACGTCTGGGCGGAGCGGGAGGGGGGCCGCCGAGACGCACTGACGCCAGGATGCCGGCGCCAGGTTTAAAACGCCGACACTGGGAGCAGGAAAGGGGGGGAAGCGCACCGGGACGGAGGCGAGCGGACGGCCCGCCAAGGAGTCAGCGGACCCACTCCCGGCAGTTCCCCGGAGCAAACCCCGAGCGGGGACGGTGAGTCTTCCGCCGGCGGAGGGGGAAGGAAGTGGCCCAGGGCAGAGTCAGGAGTGACTGGTGGGCTGGCGTGTTAAGGGTGCACACCCCGTCAGCTGGGGAGGGTCAAGCCGAACCCTCACCCTTAGGGCCCTGAGCCGGGGCCCGTGAGAGTGGGTGGACCCGGGCCCCCCTTCCCCTCCCGCCTTACTTGGGAGAAGGAAACCGAAGACAAAGGTGGACAAAAAGGGTGGACAGGAGGACTCGGAGCACTGGTGCAGGGACACATCACGGGAGAAACTTGGGGGTACCGCCGCAAGATGGCGGCGGGGCGTCACAATGAGTGTGTGCCAAGATAGTCTTGATGTTGTGAATTCACTCCTTAATGCTGATAACAGCCTTTTGTTTGTCCAAAACTCCGTTGGCCACTTTTATAACCTTTAAAATTTGCTTTTTGAGCTTAGGTGTATCAACTCACATGGCCAGGGCCAGGGCCCAACAGGATTATGGATTCACTTCAAGACAGAGTCAGTTAGGGATACTTGCTTTTATTAAACTCACTACGTCACTACTATCACAGGCTTAATACTGCCAGATGGTTACACAGCTACTGCAAGGTAATATGCCAATAAACATAAGGAGAAAAATGCATAAAGGAGAGCAACAGGCATTTGGAAATGCTTACGTCCCTTCAGTCTGCAGGGAGTACCATTCTGGTCACCTCACACTAGGCCACAGCGGACATGGCTCCAGCTGGGGGATCCAGGGAACCCTTCAAGGTCTAGGTTCCTGGTGAGACTCACCAGACACGGGACTCCCTACATTAGTTATACTACAGTTATTTACCGGGTATGTGCATACTGGCCCAATGCCACACTCAATGTTCTCACAGCGCTGAGAATGGAGGTCATGTTAATTATCCCATACTTAGCTAAAAAGCATAGGGAGTTGCAGCTGATAAAGGCTGTCTGATAAAGTACACTGGTATTTTCTCCAGCAGGGATCTTGGCTGGCCTAGAGGAATACAAATTTAACCCCTGCAGGCCCGCATATGACTGTTTATGTGACAAGGTGGAAGACAGCCAGGTAGCAGGTTAGCTCCCTTTTTAAATTTTTCCTACAGTTTTGAAAGCTGCTGCTTATGTGATTAATCTGAATGGAAGTGGAGGTAATAGCGGTAAAGGGTGACAGGAAAGTTAGTCCAGAGGTTAGGATATGTAAGAGACTCTGCTTCTATCCCTTTGCTTCTCTGAGATTTCCCATATGACCTGGGATAAGCTTCTTGGTCTCAATGAAATAATAGTGCAGGAGTTCTGAGGGTATCTATATTAGAGATTGTGAAGTGCTCAGATACCAAGGTAAAGGGGAATAGGAGTACAACAGATAGACAAGATAAATGGCAATTAGGATGTTCTGTTCATGAATCTACCCCTGTGTGACTTTAAGCTTATAAGTCTCTGTGCTGCAGCTCTCTAAAATGGGCAAAACTAACATTTATCTACGTCACAGGGAGCTTGTGGGGCTTAAATCATTTATATTTTAAATGCATTTTGGCATGCTTGAGCGCAAAGATTTAGTAGTAGTAGTAGGAAGAAGGGCTGTGGGCAAACATATGCAGCCTACCATACTATCCCTATCAAAGGATTATCTTTCCTCTTTGCACCAGGGAACAGTTTCTCTTCTTTAATTGGTAGAGATCTGATTTGTATTTGCAGGTACTATGGCGAAAGCAGAAATCACACTCAGTATATAAGGTCTTTGGGCTATGGATTCTTTTTGTTCTATTTGTACAGCACATAGCAAAGTGGGGTTCTGGTCCATGACTGGGATTCCAAATGCTGCAACAATACAAAAAAATATAATATAATATAAAGTACAGCAGCAGTTAGAAATTCCAGTCAATATTCAGGTCCCCTTCTACAAAGGCATTATATAAACACAAAGGAAGGGACAACCCTTTCCCCGCACCCAAAGAGCTTACCATTCTCTATCAAAAGTTAGAGATGGGTTTACAAACTATACATTTCTGAAACAAAGACAGGTGCAGCTGATGTGTTAATGCAACTTTCATCCACTATCTGGGAGTCATACCTCCAGTATTTTTAGCCTCTTTGCATCTCATCTAAACTGACACTTCCCCTTCTCAAATCACCTTTCAGGTCAAAAGGAATTACAAAGTTGATTTTTTTACAGATGAGGAGAGTATTGTAACATTCCTTATGCTTTATGAAAATATGCTTATGATATGAACATGACATGAATGAGATATGCTTCATGCAAGATGGCCACATGTAAGATATCATTGGAAAGTTCATGATTTAGTGACTATGACTATACCATTCATACACGTTTTTGTAGATGAAGTTAGGAGTATTGATCTGTGTATGTGTATTTCATATTTGCAGCTTTGGGTCACTCCCACTGCTGATACTTCAGGGGCTACAGTGGAAAAGCCAGACAGGGATTAATGGCCCAGCAGCTAGTCTAATTGACTGTGAATTGGCTTGATCTTCCTGGGGACATTTCATACTGATTCTTGTAGCCAAAATATAGTTTATTATACTTATTATAAAAATATAATAAATATAAAGAACATAAGTCATAATAATAATGTTTTGCTTATAAGTTCTATATGCTTCTGTTTCATTCCACCAGTTGCCCTTTATGATGATCAGGAAAGAATGGCTTGTGCCATTGGTAGATATGTGTCCGGTAAGCTGATAAGTGGCAAGTGTTAAGAGACCATGACATCTTATGGTCATTTCTTTTATCTTAGGGCATGGTTTTATTATAATATTTGCTATAAGGTCTTGCTTCTTGCCTGCATTACAAATTAAGTTGTGTTTCTATCTGCCCTGCAAACTAAGTTGTGTAAGGTTCTTTCGTAATTTTTTTAGTATCTATATAATCCTTTCTAAAATATAATCTTGCCTGAAATGCTCTGTAAAATTGTTTGCTATGAGAGAATGAAGTGTGCATAAGGGTAAGTGTAAAAGCTATCACAAATGTCCAGATGGGCTAAAAGGAGTCAGAGACTTAGGGTGTGTCTAGACTACCTAGTTTTGTCGACAAAAGTGGACTTTTGTCGACAAAACTATACCAGCGTCTACACTACCGCTGAGTTCTGTCGACATAACGTCGACAGAACTCAGCAGTTTTGTCGACGCTGGTATACCTCATTTTACGAGGCATAACACCTTCTGTCGACAGAACTCTGTCGACAGAAGGTGTTATTGCCTGTAACATTGCGTCCAGACTACGGAGTTCTGTCGACAAAGCAGCTTGCTTTGTCGACAGAACTCAATGTGTCTGGACGCTCTTTGTCGACGGAAGTTTTGTCGACAGTATCTGTCGACAAAACTTCCGTCGACAAAACGCGGTAGTCTAGGCGTACCCTTAGAGACAATAGGTGTCAATCAGAAAAGATCCCTCGGTCGTGCCTGATGCTAAACAAGCAGATTGATGACTCTAGCATAGATATACTGAAGGCAAGGTAAGAGAAAAAGGCAAAACCAGATGTGGGAAAACCCTCAGTGACAACCATCAAAATGCTAGTGAAGAATAACCCCCCCTTCCCTTTCCACCCTCCCCCCAGTAATCATGATGGGATAAAACACCACTTAAGGATTAATGGTCCCAGCATGACTCTGTAAAATCCATAGACTCAAATGTGAATTAATAACTATAAAAACAGAGTGCATTGCCATGGTTCTTTGGGTTCAGTTCTGCAAAGCCTCAGAACATCATCTTGTGACCAACAGAGCTCAGCTCCATAGTCATGTTCAATTTACTGGCCATTGGATTGATTCAGGCCACAACAGATTGGTAACTATAAGACCATCTCTAGTACCTCTGTGTGCATGTGTGTGAATGCATACGCTGCTTTTTCTGTTGTATTTTTGGTAAATGTGGCATATTGCCTTTTCTTAAGAATAAGCTCCCATGTGATTCTTAAAAGTATAACACACTGACTCATAGATGATGGAATCTGAGTTTCACCTGATACTAACCAACTCCTTGGTCTGATGAACTATTTCAGGGTATGTCTACACTAGCCCCCTAGTTTGAACTAGGGAGGCTAATGCAGGCATTCAAAGTTGCAAATCAAGCCCGGGATTTAAATATCTCACACTTGATTTGCATCTTCCCCGCCGGTCACCATTTTTGAAATTTACAAGTCCGGACTAACTGCCCGTGTCTACACGCAGCAGGGACCCGGTAGTTCGAAATAAAGCCCTAGTTCGAACTACCTGTTATTCCTCCTGCAATGAGGTTTACCAGCTAATTCAAGTTAGGGCTTTATTTCAGAATCCTGTTTCACTGCCGCGTGTAGACGCGGGCAGTTACTTCGGGCTAGTCAATTTCTAAAATGGCGACCGGCTGGGAACATGCAAATCAAGCATGGGATATTTAAATCCCGGGCTTCATTTGCAATTTCGGTCGCCCTCATTAACCTCCCTACATCAATCTAGGGGGCTAGTGTAGATGTACCCTTTAAAACAAAACTAAGCAATTTTACTCATTCTCCAAACAAAATTAACCTGAACTATTTCATAGGAAAAAAAAATCCCAAGGGAAATGGAAACAATATTCTTAAGAAAGTCTCTAACTTAAAATTCATTGACTTCTCTGTGGATAATAGGAAATTAGGGAGAGAATTTTTCAGATTTGTAAAATTGTCTAGAAACAAGAAAAGCAGGTTTTAATAAAACCTGTTCTCAGATCTCACAACCTTGCAAATGACCACATGTTCCTTCTGAACCACTGGCGGCAGACCCTGCTTTCAAGATACCCAAAGCATATTAACTAAAGCATTTTAAAGACCCATCAAACCAATTTATTTTCCCTGAATGGTTAATGAAACACAGCCATGCATATTCCTTTAACTTCACATATGGCGAAGTGACTCTAAACCACCAACTCATTTTAGAGATTCTGTTTTCAAATGTCATATTTGATATGCAAATAGAAGTCCAGAATTAATACCACTTGTGCTGCATGTGTTCTATTGCTTAAGCCTAAGGGGGGGGGGGGAAGAAATCAAACTCAACAAATAGCTTCAATTGTTCTTCTTTCAAATTGCCAAGCTTCTGTTAAAACAATATGCATCAAAAATCTAAGAACCAAATATGCAGGCCTAACACAGTGCTTCAATTACTGTCACATAAACCTTTTTCAACTTGAGATCCCCTATCTTATCTATAATAGACAAATGCCCAACCACAGGAAAGAATCCCTGAATGATAAACAAGGAAATTGAGTCTTGTTCTTAACACAGCTGTCACCTGGCACAGAGAGTGACTATCAAGTGGTCTACAATAGCACTTAAGTAGATCAAATCAAGGAGAAAGCTTCCTTTGTCCATGTATGTCACTTAACAGGGTCAGTTCATCTTACTTGCCTTTTCTGAAAGGATTGGGTTGTAATTGGTTCCTAAACTGTTTTGTATGAATCACATACAAACAGAGCATAAGGTGATGGATGTCCTTGATATCACAAAGAAGGGCTCCAATTCAACATCCAACTTCTTAAAAAGATTTAGTGTTCCTGTGCTCAGCCCTGTTTGATTTAGGAACTTAAATTTCATTTTCAGAAGTGATTTAGGCACATAGGAGCTAAAATCCCTTGTAAATTGACGGGATTCAAGCTAAATTCTAAATCCCTTTTGAAAATGATAGTTGGGCATGACACATTAAACACAGCAGCACCTACACAGTTTTACGAATCTGGGTCTAAATCTAATGTTCAGGCTAAAGGGAAATGAAGCACTATAAATCATGTGTTAAAGGCAATGCAGTCTGTATAAATAGCAGATTCCCATCTAAACTTGGCAAGAAAATCAGAGAAGGGAAGCCACGCTATTTTGCAAAGATTTGGAAAAAGTGCAAAAGCCAATGGCTCTAATAGAACTTTTTTGGCACACAATCTGGAAGTCTCAGCAGTTTCTGATGTTGGAAGAAATGCATTCTGCTTTAAACTTTCTACAATGCCTAATTTCTGCTTTTACATACTGTTGGCCAGAGGACTTAGGGCCTCTCTCACAAATATCCATTTTTTCTGGTAATACATGTCACCCATGTATTTCTTGAAAACAAGGAGCAACTTCTCAGGACACTGATTTGACAGCATATCTGAACTACACACAAGAATTCTGCCAATTCCATTATCAGGAAAACTGAGTGCAAGTTAAGAGCTGTAGGAATCTGTGGAGGGTGTGAAATTCCAAAATGGGATGGATTAAAAAGCAGCTTAGGCCCCAGTCCAGGAAAGCACCTGAGCATGTGCTTGTGAATAGTCTCAGTGATTTCAGTGGAAGTAGATGCTGAAATGCTTTTGCTAGATGAGAACCCTTGTAATAGTGAAGGAGAGTTTTGTTTCCATACTTTACTACAGGCCTGCACAACTCGGAAAGCGGCGAGGGCCATATTACTCCAAAGAAAACAGCTGTGGGCCGCAAGTAGGGATGCTCTCCCAAAAAATACCAAACACGCAAGCTAAAAATTTTTGTCAAGCAAAAAAATAAAAAAACACCACTCCTTTCTGCCCCCCTCCCCTCAGGACAAGCCT